TTCTTCTTCTTCTTCTTCTTCTTCTTCTTCTTCTTCTTCTTCTTCTTCTTCTTCTTCTTCTTCTTCTTCTTCTTTATATATAGAGTTCAATGAAGACCTAATGCTTGTGATAGTTTGACAAATAACATATTTAAATTGTGCATATGAACGCAGAGAAAATACATTGATCAGTACCGCCTTTCAGCCAAAACGCGCTACTGCTACAGAGAAGTACATATTAAAAATACATTGATCATCAATGATCTTTTTGTATAGAATCTAAATCGTCAATAGGAATCTACCATCGATTTAAGAACCGGCAAAGACTCCTATTGCAGCCATAGATCCTACACATAGAGTTCAATGAAGACCAAATGCTTGTGATAGTTTGAGAAGTAACATATTTAAGGTGGTCAAATTCTTGTTAGGGGAGCGAGGTGGGACTAAAAATAGCGCCTGCCACAACTTCTTTAGTACTGGTTCGTGCAACGAACCGGTACTAAAGATTCGCAATGAACCGGTACTAAAGGTGACCTCCCGCCAAGTCATTTGAACCGGCACTAATGGACGCATTAGTGCCGGCTCATATGCAAATCGGTACTAATGTTTCTCATATTTGACCCTTTTTCTACTAGTGAGGAATTGGCGGGATTCTTTCTTAACCACGTCATCAATAAAGTCGGAGAATACCATGTGGAAGTTGATTTCAAATGCTAGGGGATTGTAAGAGATCTTACATTGTATATATGTATGTAGCCAGTAGCGTCGGATAGATAATACAAAAACTTGTTGTTCGACCAATCTCTCGGAGAAGGAGTGATCGATCGATCACTTCTCTCGGTATGCATGACGAACTTCTGTACTTAATGGTTTCCTTCATTTTCTTACTAGCTAGCGTGTCAAGGGCCTCTCTATGTACAGTAGGTAGCGTCGACCAAGCACGGACATAAGAGAGGACACTTCTCTCTATTAATTAGCTAGCTAACATAATATATAAAACACCTAAATTAACCCCCCAACCCCCCCTCCCCTTTCAAAAAAAAACAAAAAACCCAGCCCCTGAAATGCTGACGCGTGGATGCCTTTTGGTCCCGGTTGGTGCCACCAACCGGGACCAAAAGCCCTCCTGCCTGGGCTCGCCGCACCAGCCACGTGGAGGCCCATCTGTCCCGGTAAAAGTATAGGGCATTAGTACCGACACTTTAGTCCCGGTTCAAAAACCGGGACTAATGGCCCTTACGAACCGGGACTATAGGTCCTTTTTCTACTAGTGTATTGAAAAGCAAAATAAGGAGTTAACTGCTCTAACCAATCCATCAAAACTTTAAAGGCGCAAAATTGTACTCCTCTAAGTTTATTATAACGCGCAACTCTCCTATTTTTACTCCTTCCTAGCGCTGCTCCTTCAAAAAATTCCATTCCTTTTTTCTAGTCCGCCACAGCGTGAACCCACGCCGCCGACTCGCATGACGCCGTTGCCTTCACCTGTGACTCTGTGAGCTGCCGTGCTCCCAAGAGAAGTCGGCACCAAGACCAGAACACGAGGACGACCATGACGTGCCGCTCAGGGACGGGGACGTGGACAGGAACAACAACTCGTGCAGCTATGCCACCAGCTCCCTCTCCCGGCGCTGCAGCTGCATCCTGCCATCCGCCACTGCCCAATCGTGCTCACCACCCGGGGCACAACCTCCACTCTACATTTTAGTTGGGGTAGCTTGACAGTACGTGCAGCTGCAGGTGCATGGGCGCAGGTACGTTGGACCTCGCCGTGGTGGCGAAGACTGGTGGCGAGGTTACGGGATCAGGGCTAGGCGACATGTCGTTCCTGTGCGTGACTGAGGTGCTGCTCCGGTGGGCGCACCGGAAAAAAGAAGAATTAAGGAGGAGGAAGATGTAGAGAGACTTTCATATGGGGTCCCTTCATTTCAGGAGTTAATTTTTAGGGATCAGTTAGGTCCGGCCGCCGTTAGCGAAGTCAAATTCTGAGTTAAGTTTACTGCACCATTTTCTCCACTAAATTATAAGGGGTCAGTTAGAGATGCTCTTACATAGCAGCAGCAACAACAACAAAAGAAGAAGAAGAAGAAGAAACAAAATTGTTTCCATCACAAATTGCAACAAACACATGATCCTTTTTACTTCTTTTGGCATCTTATTCATAGAGAGACCGGGACACTTGCGCAAACTCAAGTCTGAACACCACCAATTTGGGCTTGACGTTCCCCACATTCCTTTGAACCTATGATGGTGTTCTGAACTAAGGGGTACTCACCATGTCATCTTTCGGCCAGGAGGGCCGGGCAAGGACCCCCGTAGCGGTTCATTACTGGGCCAGTTCGGGCAACCCATGATGTATACATGAAAGATTTCACAAGACTTGGCGCACAAGATGATAACCCTTCTAAATCCTAGGCTAGGCTTGCCGATATAACATATTCTAGATATTCAAGACTTCCTAGAAGAGAGATAGACTCAATACACATATATGATCTCAAGGTAAATCAACATGTACTCTGTACCCCATTCATCAATAAAATACAAGCAGGACGTAGGGTTTTACCTCTTCGGGAGGGCCTGAACCTAAGTAAACATTGTGTCCCCTCTCGGTCTTGTTACCATCGTGCCAAGGCTACCAGCTCGGGACCCCCTATCCAAGATCTGCCGGATTCGACTCCATCCGAGCCCGGAAGAAAGATGCTGCATTCCTGGACACCGCATCCAGGCGTTTGAAAGGGTCGATAATGCGACCATCACACACGCAAGCTTCTTTCCATGCTTCCTCAAACCCATCTAACTTGGGCCAAAAAAGCTCAAACCTAAAACACTTCCTCGTTGTAACATGTGCAACCATGGAAAGAGGAAGGGGTGCGTGATCCGAGACCCAGTCAAGAGTGTTTGAAGAAGGATTCAACTCCTAGTCCACCAAGGCCAAGATATGATCGATTTTGGTCAATTTGCAAGTCGCGCTAGTTACTCCAGGTGAAGCATCCACCATCCATGTACACTTCCTTGAGCTCCAGGGGTCGTCTACCGTTCACCATGCGATACTTAAGATTCGAGGTCTTCTTCTCCATTGCTCGCAAAATTCTTTGAAATCACCAAGAAGCAGTGAAGGTCCCGGGCATAGGGCTCTCATGTTCCTCAATTACTTGAGGAAAAGCAACTTGAGCTAATATCCTTGAGGACCGTACACCACCGTGATTCACCACAGCTCATTATTTTTGGGATGGACCAACCTGGCCAAGCAATGGGAGTCCAAGGGCCAGCTGGTCAGTGTCCATCACCAAGGAATCCCATGCCAGAAGGATTCCCGCTATGGCTTCCACCCCCGGTAGGGCGGTAGCCAGTAGGTACGCAAAACCGTAAAAAGACGGCCCGAGACAATTTAACCAAGAGAAGATCCAGTACATCCAATTTGGTCTCCTGGAGGCACACCAAATTTACACGCACCAATTCAACGATCTCCCTCACGGCCTTCTGTTTAGCTGGATTATTCATTAGATGGTTATGGCTTCCCAGAAAAATTCATGTAAATCATTTTAGGCACATAGCACTTACATTAATTTGTCGTAAACAAGGTTTATTTTTCTTTCCCACACCAGCCTCCCAACCTCTGCAGCTCCTGGGAGTGGGAAACCACAGTAAAATCCAATGAATCCAGGGATGGCAGCATCACCACTCAAACAACACCATCCACACGTAATTCAAGCACACCCCTGACACGTGTGAAACAAACCCAGCACAGAGGTTTAACGGGAGCACACTCGTGTAAGAAAGCAAGGCCCGGGAGCAGCCTGGCAGGAGGCGGTGCCGCGCAGGCCAGGCAGCGACAGCAGTTCTCGGACAGCCAGGCAGTCCTCAGTCCTCACCCCAGGCATCGTCGCGCGCAGCTTGTCGGGCGGTGATCCGGCTCCTCCTTGCCTCCTCCTGCTCTTTCCGCTCGCCTGCATCCATGGTCGTGAACTGCTTTAGTCCCATCCCGTGGGCGATCAGCCTCTGCGCCGTTCTCGCCGACGTCTTCGGCCTCGGCGTCGGCGGTTCTAGGTCTGCAGTTCAACATGGAAACAACATACGGTGGAAGGTATGAGCTATGAACTACACATGATCCTTAGGGAGAAGAAGATCAAACTGAAAAGGATCATCACAAGGAACAAGCTGTTACCTGTACCATCGATTTTTGCCAAAAGATCGTCATTATCCTTTAGTGGCCGTACTTTGTATCTTGGAGGCACGGAAGCTTGTGCCTCCTTAGCTACAGGAGTACATGACAACAGGCCAACAGGTCAATAGGCCAGAATAGAATCAATAAAGCCAGAAAACAGAAGTACAGAGACCTTGCAAGTTCGTATCATCAGCATAAGTTCTAAGTACCAGCAGGATGGAAAACGCTGAACCAGCATGAAAGTATAAGCTTCAACAATAAACCAAGACTAACAGTAAATTATGTACTCTGCTTTCTACAAAATTATTATGCATTCTGCTTTCAGCATTGGACTTCAGGAATACCATTTTTTTGTATGCTCGTGCATCAAAATTACGCATACATCATGAGATAAACAAAGTGTCACGTAATCTAATTGGAATAAGGGATGTGTGCCAATTTGTACTTCATATCATGTTTTGTACTTTGTGGGAAGCACACAAGCTTGTGACCAGTTAGCTACAGGTCAATAGGCCAGAATGAAGCGGTCAGAATGCATCGATTAGAACCAGGGAACATAAGTATAGAAATCTTGCAAGTTCATATAATCAGCACAAAGTTCTATGGTCCAAAACAATGGAAGAACACTGAACCTGCACAACAGTATAGCTTGAGCAATAAAGAAAGTCTAATAGTCAATTATGCATTTTGCTATCTAGGTTGGACTTCATAACTGTCATGTTTTCTCATAGATATCAAAATTACACATATATCACGAAATAAACAAAGTCCCACGCGGCCTAATTGGAAAAAAGGAATTACAATGATTTCCTCTATTAATTTAGTGCCCTCACAATGAAAATCTGGGGAACTGCCCTTCGGCACGAAATAATTATGAAAATGGAAATAATGCTTGTCCAATGCATCTTATTTGACATCAGAGCTTTGCTTCCATAGGTGGAGTTGTGTACGTATACATTTCAATAATACAAAAGTCTAGGTTAAACAAGAATGTGGCGACAGTTTCTAGATCATGGAATACGAAGAAACATGCAGAAAGATTATCAGAAGTAACTATCAGAATCAAATTACCAGATGATGGGGTCCGGAAAACTGCAAGTGCAACAGAATCATTGACCCAGCGGATGGCAACTCCATGGTCTCCAAACTTCTCAAAAATCCTTTCCAAATCTGTTGTGCGTGTACTAGGTGGGAAGTCGTAAACAACAAGGGCATGCCTTGTCCCAAATCGTTTTGCAGCTGCAAAACCAAACAAAAGAACAAGAGTTTAGTTTACCCACCATGAGCAAGCTAACTAGACAGAGAAGACTAGTCATCCTGAATAAATTACCATCCTTATTATCTTTCTCATCCGCACGACCCTTTGATCGACCATGAGCTGGATCAGACCCCTTGTCATCCAGATCCCTCTCTGAAGCGCACTGGTCGCTGTACAGAACACTCTTATCATAAAGAAAAGAACCCCTTCCCCTCCTCTTGGTCCCTGAAGATGAAGTGCTACTTTTCTCTGAAGAACTACAAGGTGTTGTCACCCTCGCCTCTTGCACGAGGGGGCGCACCGGCGTCTCGTCGCCACGGTCCGCAATAGCCTCCCAATCTGCATATGCGTCAGAGGAAGAATGTTAATGTCTCAGTTTTGCCTGAGCTGTTTTCAGCTTAGCACAGAGACAGAGGCCACTAGAATAATACCATCGTCTTCATCTTCGTCCTTCTTGTCGACGCTAGCTGAGGCTTTCGAGTCCTTGGATCCCGTAGCAGCCTCCGGCGATGCAGAATTCTCCGTTGCCGCATGATCCCTTCAATGTACATTATCAGAAGCAGAGCAGGAGTTAGTCAGGTCAGATGGCCCAAACAGGGAGCAGCTGCAGCTGAGTTTGTTCAGATCGTGTGCCACATTTGCGTGATCCGTGCTCTGACATCTACGAGATCGCGAGCTAGAAGCTACTCGAATTTACAGAGAAAACAGCTAAAAAATTGCAAATTGGCAAGTCCAGGTCGAGCAGGCCAAGATTCGGTTCAGAAGCAAGAACAGAGCTTGGGGGAGGAGGAGGAGCAAACCCTAGGGCCTGGGGCTGGGGGGCTTCTTTCTGGGCGCGGAGGCGGAGGACGATGGCGCGGGAGCGGATGGCGTCGGCCTGGAGCGTGTTGCCGCGGGAGGCGTGGAGGCCGGCGAGGTCGCCGAGCGCCGTGGCGAGGCGGAGATCGGCGCCCGCCCGAGGCGGGGAGGCGGCGGTGGAGAGGCTGGAGACGACGGACTCGAGGAGGGAGATGGCGCCGTCGACGTCCCCGGCGTCCACCAGGTCGTCCACCTCCTCCGTCCAGCGGTGGCCGCCGGCCGCCGCCGCCGCCGCGTCCATCGGTGGGGGTAGGCTGGGCTGGTCTCTCGCGTGGACTGTACACAGGTGGGAGACGGTAGTGGGCTGAAGTGTGGGCCCCGCACACAGCTAATTTTGTGGTGATGATGCTTTGCTTGAGGGGTGCTTGCGCTTCCCTTACTAATTGGACCATTCTCTTCTCTAAAACTTTCTTTTTGCTGATACCCTTCTCTAAAACTTCTTATTCGAACAAATTAAAAGAGTAAATTACACTGGTAGCATTCGACATGTATGTACACTTTCATCCAACGACTGGTTGGTTGACAACGAAAAGAGGCACGCTTGTCTTGCGCGGCCACTTTGGTCCAAAATCGGTCTGGCTGGGTTTAAACCGATGACTGGGCGGTTGACTCATACGAGGCGTCGGTTCATGACGTCTATTGAAGTTGTCGAATCAAAACTTTTGCAAAAAGGACCTTGCAAGCCTCTCGTGTAACCGCGGTCCAACAAATTGTTATACACCTATTCGCAGCCAATTTCCCACCGCAGATCCCTAATGTCTAGCCCTAGCTTCCATTCCCCACTCTTATTCTCCCCCTCTACGACTTTGGCAGTCGCGGCATGCCCGCTGAGGGTGACGGTGAGGCAACACATCCTCTTACGCACTGCTTTGTCCTCATCTTCTTCCACTCCTCCCTCTCTTCGCATGGACGGATCTTGAGTAATGCATCGCCGTAGTAACTTCAATGGCGAGGTGGCGACTTGATCAATGGCATGGTATCATGATGAAGAAGCTAATCACGTCCAAACTACATGTAACCCTTGTTGTGTTATTTCTTCTCTCATTTCTCCTTTTCCCTCTATCCTTCTCTTTCATTTCTTCTATGTTTGAAAGTGTTTTATACTGATAATGTTGTTAGTTAGGAGAATTGTGATGGTGGTGGGTTTTACCCTAAGGAGTACAAGGAAGTTTGTTAGAATCAGTTACAAATTTTTTGAGCTTGCTGCTTCAGACCAAATAATCACGAAGTTGGAGGAGAAGGTGTCAGTGAACAAGAGAAGAAGCATATGATGGATGATATGGAGGAGACAATAAGAATGTTTCTAGTGGCAGTTATTGATGCAATGATGTTTCCAACTTTGCACCGCACATGGCCAGACATGCTTGCGCTTCACAACGTTGTTGTGGAAACGCGACGATCATCGTTGCCACCGTGGTTGCTTGTCTCCTCCAGACAAGGCCACAAACATAGGAGGAGGGATCGGAAAATTATAGTACCTCATGCTTGCCAGGGGATGTACAAAATTAACTGGGCAGACTGCATGCCCAATACCCATCACATATGTGGAACCCACGTAACCACCAGTGTGATGGATCATGTGTATGATATGAATTGTTTCCGACTTCTGAAGATCACCCAAGGCCAATGCCTCATCCGATTCACCGCCACGTCAACCCCTCAAATTGCTTGTTCAAATGAGCTAAAACTTCACAAAAACAGCTACAAAATTATTCTTGATTCCTACTAATGTTTTCACATTTTTAGAAGTTCTTGGGGGTGCTCGCTCTGTTTAATTTGCTTGCTGGATTTTGATTTGATGTTCATTAACTACGCAATACAGCTCTCTGGTGTGGAGTATGTGTGTATCGATGGATGCTTCTCTTGGTGGCTTTGGTGCAGTATGATGTTTCTATTTTTTGAACTTAGTATGATAGGTTGGGGACACTAGACAACAAGATTTAATTTATCCTTTTTCTACGGAAGGGTCTAAGACCATATATTAAGTATCACATGTCCTTACAAATAAAAAGTGTATTCTACTTCCTTATCATATTTCTCATAATTTCCAAATAGAAAGTAGTGATTGATTATCTACCCCATGTACCAGAATTAGTGTTGTTATGATCTTGATTCATGACCAATGTTTCACCGATCCACGTCCTTCAAGTTGGAGAGAAACAACTACATCGTTTATCTATAAATAATAAGTTAATAACCGTGCATGATTCCATGCTTCTTCTTGGGAGCAATAAAACTAACTAGGTCTCTCACGACCTCAAATGTGTTTTACTCATTCATCTCCATTAACTGGGCAAGTGGTTCCTTCTAAATGTTTCTTGAAATCCATATTTTTGTTTCCAACTTCCAGTTTTATTGTCCAATAGTGGTAAACATTTTTTTCCTGAATTCATAATAGTCATATGCAAAGTTGCATCCCAAGTTCTCTCTTCAATGCTTTTCGACTTCCATGTTTTGCAAATCACTTGCCCGTGCGGACGCAGGGTTGACTAGTATCACTAGTAGAAAAACACCTAATAGTCCCGGTTCGTAAGGGCCTTTAGTCCTGGTTCATGAACCGGGACTAATGGGTCGTTACTAATACCTCCACCCATTAGTCCCGGTTCAAACACGAACCGGGACCAATGTGCCTCCACGTGGCCCTGTGCGCCGAGCCCAGTCACGGGGCCTTTGGTCCCGGTTGGTGGCTCCAACCGGGACCAAAAGGCATCCACGCGTCAGTATTTCAGTGGCTGGGGTTTTTGTTTTTTTTGAAAGGAGGGGGTGTTGGGGGTTTTGGAGGGTTAATTTAGGTGTTTCATATATTGTGTTAGCTAGCTAATTAATAGAGAGAAGTGTCCTCTCTTATGTCCGTGCTTGGTCGACGCTACGTACTATATATACATAAGTGATCGAGAGAACCATTCAGTACAGAAGTTCGTCATGCATACCGAGAGAAGTGATCGATCGACCTCTCCTTCTCCGAGAGATTGGTCGAACAACAAGTTTTCGTATCATGTATCCGACGCTACTGGCTACATACATGTACAATATGTATAAGATCTCTTAATTACAAACCCCTAGCATTTGAAATCAACTTCCACATGGTATTCTCCGGCTTTACTGATGACGTGGTCAAGAAAGAATCCCGCCAATTCCTCTTGAATTGCTTTCATGCGATTTGGTTCTAGGAGTTCATTCCGCATCTGCCACGTCTAATTTGAAGAAGGGGGTTAATTAATACATATATATGAATGAAACTCAACAGAAATGATGGTGTAATAAAATAAAATTATGAATATTATTGCTTACGCACTTCATATTGTCTTTTAGAGTAGCCCCGCTTGTTTTTCAAAGTCGCGGTGTGGATGAACTCGCACACGTAGTATCCACAGAAATCATTCCCTTCCTCCTGCCACAAGCACTTTACGAGAAATAGAGGTCAATCAAATTGATAATGAAGCATAGCCAGTATAGCTATAGAATCAACGAGAGATGCGCGCAACTTGCTAGCCAGTAGTACTTACTTTCGGGTATGTATATCGCAGCTCCTTCGGCAGTCCCGGAGCTTCTGCGGTGAACTGTTTCCAAACCCTGCAAGACAAAGAAAATAATTATTATTACTTGAGATATCAGGAAATGAACAAAAAGTTGCCGATATGGTGCGATAATGATCGATTGAACTTACTTGCTGAGCTTTTCAGTCATGTCCGCATAGGTTTCGGGATCTTTCCGTCTCGAGTCTAAGATGGTTACTAGTCCCCGCTCAAGCTTAATCTTCAGAAGAATATAGTGGTATCTGCGCACGCATGCATAACTCATCAATTACATTACTATAACCTCGCTCGAGTAATAAGGGAAACCGAATATGCACACGGCAATAACACTCACTTGCCGTTGTAAGGAAAGAGTATGGTATCTTTGTTTTGATTTTTGATCAACGATCGTAGCAAGTTGTCCTCGGCCTCTTTGACGTTCTTTTCAACCAGAAATACATCTATGATATTTGTGTTAATGAACCCAATATCATAAATTTCTTGTTTTTTGCACTCGACGATCTTCAATCTGCATAATATATTGAGGATAATTAATTATAAATACATGCAATGAAAGAGCCGAGCTATATATAGAGACTTAATGACAGAAATAGTACTTACAGACAGTAGCAAAAGACTATTAATTTATCGAGGGCCTTTTGATTGAAGAACGCGAAGAACTCATCAAATGGAACACACAACAGATCACTTGAAACGAGGTCGTGCTCCTCTTTATGTTGGGGAACGTAGTAATTTCAAAAAAATTCCTACGCACACGCAAGATCATGGTGATGACATAGCAACGAGAGGGGAGAGTGTTGTCCACGTACCCTCGTAGACCGTAAGCGGAAGCGTTATGACAACGCGGTTGATGTAGTCGTACGTCTTCACGATCCGACCGATCCAAGTACCGAACGTACGGCACCTCCGAGTTCAGCACACGTTCAGCTCGATGACGATCCCCGGGCTCCGATCCAGCAAAGCTTCGGGGATGAGTTCCGTCAGCACGATGGCGTGGTGACGATGATGATGCTCTACCGGCGCAGGGCTTCGCCTAAACTCCGTGATGATATGACCGAGGTGGAATATGGTGGAGGGGGGCACCGCACACGGCTAAGGAACAATCCGTAGATCAACTTGTGTATCATGGGGTGCCCCCTGCCCTCGTATATAAAGGAGCAAGGGAGGAGGAGGCCGGCCCTAGGAGGAGGGCGCGCCAAGGGGGAGAATCCTACTCCAAGTAGGATTCCCCCCTCTTTCCTAGTCAAGTAGGAGATGGGAAGGAAGGGAAGGAGAAGGAGAAGGAAGGAGAGGGAGGAAAAGGAGGAAAGGGGGGCCGGCCCCCTAGTCCAATTCGGTTTGGGCTAGGGGGGCCGTGCGCCCTGCCTCCTCTCTTCCACAACTTGGCCCATGAGGCCCATTGCTTCTTCCTCGTATTCCCGTAACTCCCCGGTACCCCCGAAAATACCCGAATCACTCGGAACCTTTCCGAACTCCGAATATAGTCGTCCAATATATCGATCTTTACGTCTCGACCATTTCGAGACTCCTCGTCATGTCCCCGATCTCATCCGGGACTCCGAACTCCTTCGGTACATCAAAACTCATAAACTCATAATATAACTGTCATCGAAACCTTAAGCGTGCGGACCCTACGGGTTCGAGAACTATGTAGACATGACCTGGAACTATTCTCGGTCAATAACCAATAGCGGAACCTGGATGC